AGTATAGCCAAATGAGATCTGAATGAACTTCTGTCAGGTACCTCAGGTTTATTTTGCCTAAAATGAACTCGCTGTGTCAGCCAGTAGCCATATGCCTGCTAAAGTCACATCAGTGCTGCTGCCCGGGGGCAGTTGTTTGGATACCCTGAGAATCTGCTGCTGGGGACGGCATCCGGAGAGGGGATGGCATCCTGAGAGGGGACAGCAGGGTGCGGATGGCCCCTGGGAAGGAGCTCGGTATAAAGAGCAGCCATGTGGCTATTGTGCAACTAAAGCAATTTGTTGTCACACACCCATTATTGAGTGTAACCTGAATTTAATAGGAGTCAATGTAATAGCAAAATATCTACATGGGTTCTAGAACAGGCTCTAAGCACTCCCAGAAGTTGTTTTGTGTAGTGCTCTGAAGGGAAAAAGCACGAAGATAAACAGAATTGCTAAGGCAAACTCAGCGCTACTAAGCATTCCAATAAACTTAGGGCTATCAAAGGAATCACTAGATAGCAGGCTAAAGTAACAAAATCGTGTAATGCAGGTTTAAATTGTAACATACGAGTGTGTGGACTTTTCCGGTAGTAACTGTTAATACATTCAAACCAAAGGAGGTTTTAAAAGACCTCAAATGCTGGACGTGGGCACTGCAGTTCTCTCTTCAACAAGAGATGGATAGCACACTTCTACACAGCCTAGCTGTGAAACCCGTGTCCTGGCATGGACTGGGAGGGTTGTCGCTTCCTCTGTTCCCTCTTGTGACCTGTTAGTGCCCCAAGGCAGGGGGATAGTTCTGAGTTTTGTGATGGTATTTTTACTCTGTCACACTCGTAATGTGATGGAGTAAAATAATCCCATGACTTTAGACGAAACAGCAGCCATTTGTTGTTCCTCTGTTCACTCATAAAGATATTAATCAGCAGTGGATATCTTTATATCCAAGGCATGAGCAGGGGATTTGAAGATTTTTAGTCTATTACATACCAGATCTGTGTAAACTATTCTATTCTAGTCATCACTTTCAGTTGCAATTAATCCCAGCAGTTGTACCTATGTTACCAAAGATTTCACCCCCCTTTCTAAAAATACTTCAGGTGCTGTAAGTTCTAGGATGTGGTGGTTTGACCCCAGCCCTCTCCTCAGCACAAATCCAGAACACAGCCTCCAGCTGCCGTGAGGAAAGTTAACTCTGTCATAGCCAAAACCGGCACATGGAGGAATGTGAAAACAGAGGTATTGGCTAGTTTGCACTCTTGCAGGCATGGTGTAGTAATGCTTTACAAACTCCTTTGGGAGCCCTGTCTGCGCGTTTAGATGGATGACGTTTTCCTCTCTCTGCACGTTGTTGGCAAACGCAGCATTATTTCTGCAATTTGATGGGCTCTGTGGCGTAAGCACAGCATAGTGGCCTTGCCAGATAAACACTTGAGGGTTGCTCTTGAGCCTTTACTTAGCAGTTCCAGCTTTCCCTGCTCCAGAGTTTTTTTTTTTCGTATAAAAGCCAAATGATCCAGAAGCAAGAAGTACAATGCTGTTGTAGTGGAATGTGAAATATTGCCATGGAAGGGATTCCCTCGTCTTTCCTCCTATGAGGTCAGAAAACATGTTCTCTTAAATTCTGTTTGGGGTTTTCTTTGTTTGGTTGGGCTTTGTTGGTGTTTTGGGTTTTTTTTTTATTATTATTAATTCTGTGCATCCTATTTAGTGTGTTGGTTGGTAGAAGCAGAAATGTTTTCTAATTGCTCATTTTTTAATGTTTGTGTAATTAAAGCTATACAGTAAGGCAGTTGACTATTTTATCTATACTTGCAAACTGTCAAGATTCCAGTGCATAGTTATGACAATGCATTAGGGAATGTTGTTTTGGTGTAGGTCCTGGGCTGTATCTATTCAAACTAATTGGGTTGCATAGCCTGTTTTTATGGCAGGATTAAAAAAACACATCTTAGCTTTACAGGCGCAAAAGAGAGCGAGAAGCTTTTAGTGTTAATGATTTATTTTATTTTGGAGAAACAAGAAATATAATTTAGGAAACTCTGCATGAGAGATTGCAGAGTGCATTTCTTCTGTAATGTTATTCTGCATGTTCTGCAAAATGGTGGTTGCCTTTTAAAAAACTGAAAAGCTCAGTGCAGAGAAAATATTCTAAAACTATGCAAGTGTGTGTGCCACTGTTTCTGTGTGTTTCTTTGGAATACTCTCCTGCAGAGGTTATTTCTGTAGAATAACATTAATAAAGCCAGAGATATTCTGAGTGTTCTCACCTGATGGAAATGTGGGTGGAAATCCCGTGTATGAAGCCTTGCTGTGCCTGGGTTGTATGGTTCATTTCCTGCAGCGGGGATGCAACACTTGCCTAAACACAAAGTCTTTGCGGCACTTTGAGTACTCATGGTGAAGGGCATGATAGACATTTGGAGAAGGTAAAGTAGAATATTGCTGGTGCTGCGGAGCGTGGGAGGGTGGCTCCGCCAGCACACACCGAGTTCCTTGAAGTGGTGCCAGTGCTCACGAAGGATGTCCCTGGGATGCACTGCTATTGGGAGCTCTGTTTTCATGGCCCGTCCCACCATACGTTGTGCAGGTGACCAAGAATAGCTGTAATGTTGTAGGTGTCACACACAATTCTGTGTAAAATCACTCTCATTTCAGGTAGCACCTGCCAATTTGAAACAATCTCCAATGTTTGTTAAGCTATAGGCTTCACCACGGTATTTGACGAGCTGTTTCAGGGTTTAGTTATTTTCACTGTTAGATTTTGAGCCCTGTTTCTAGTCTGATGTTCTAATTTCTACTCTCAGCCCTTTGACAACAAATTTCTCTTTATGTAGATTCATACAAACCATGATCTTGTTTTTCCTTAAATTCTTCTTTATTAAATGAAATTGGTTAATCTCCTTTTGAGATTTATTTTCCAATCCTTTATTTCCATTCCAGTTGCTTTTCTGATTCTTCTGCAACTGATTCTTCTTGATTGGTAGGCATTGATACTGAATTATTGTATCTTATCTAAACATGGGACTAAATAAATCTTTCTATCCCTAGGTGACATTCCCTGTTTTAACAAGAAAAGGCCACATTAGCCCTTTGCTGCAATGTCATACACTGGAGATCATTATTACTGGATTATTTATCTTCTCCGAATGGAGTCCTCAACCCATCTTTTGTTTCTAGGTGTACAGTATTGCTGTCAGTTGTGTGGCACTCCAAGTAACCCGCCACTCTGTGTTTGTGGCTCTGCTCTTCTTGTTCCCCACGGTGTATCATTTACATTGACCATTGCCGTGGGTGTGTTGTCTCACAGGTCCCTCCTTATTTTACAGCACAGGGAAAACCATCTGACTCTGTTCCTTTCTTTCCCACAATCTGAAGTCCCATGCTACACTCTGCTGCTAAATTGTGTAACCCTCTGCCCACGGTGCTGCCCATGGTGCGTGTCCTTTCCCCAAATCTGTGCTGCAGAGGTTCTTCCAGCAGTTCTGCTGTACACACGGAGAGGAGCAAGTGACCCATCCCGAACCAGTGCCAAGTCAGTCTGGCAAGCGGCAGTGTCTCAGACTGGCCTTTCCCTGCTAGTGCCAGAGAGAGAGAGGACCAGCAGTGAAGATCTGTTGCACACAGTAAGATGTCTTTTGTACAGCTGTCCCAGAATGACTCCAGATGGCTCAAGTGCTTTGGCGGGGGCAAGAGGGACCTAGAAATGTCCCTGTGAGCTTCTGCTGCCTTTGGTTTGGGTGTTTGTGGCCAGGAATGGGGTCTCATGTCAGGGAAGTGACAGCAGATGGCAATTGCAAAGCCACCTACTGGAAGAAAGTGACCCACCAGCTTTGCCAGGGATGTTCTGTGCTTTAACGAGGAATTCCACTCAGGTGACAAGGTGCTGGGTAAAAAGCCAAGCAGCCTTTAGCATCTTCCGCAGATAATCTCTGATACCCAGCTCAGAGCTGGGGCTGGGAGGAGCATTTGCTAAATACGTCTTAAAGTGAACTGCCGAGAGAAGACCTTCAGAGATCTCCCATCTGACCAGGCTAGCCTCACCAGACCAGATGGGGTCACAGCGTGAGGTGGTGTTCTTGGGGTCTGCTGAATAGTCAGGTTGGAAGAAAACAATATGCTCAGGTCACCGCAACAATTTTCCCATCAGGATGGGGTCCCAAGAAGAGAAGGAAAGAGAGTACATCCTCTTCAAAGCTGTTGCTTAAAATCCAGTGTATCAAATGTCAGTAGTAAAACTGGAAGACAAGTTCTGGAAATTTCATAGGATTTTAATTAGAAATCTGTAGAATTGTGAAAGAGCTCACGCTTGGAAGAATATGAATGTTCAATAAGCCTACATTATTTCCATTTCCCATAGAATGCTTCTTTATTGGTCACGCTCTAGGAAATTCAACAATATTAAAAATTCTTTTTACTGATTATATTCTCATTACCAGTCCATCTTTAAAAGTATTCAATAAGGAATACATTTAGTGGCTGGGCTATACAATCATAGTGGTTTTGCTGGCAGGAAACTCCTGAGCCTGAAGATGAGGTGGTTGAATTTGTTTGTACACGAGAACGGCCCTACCAAGCCCATTGGGACACTGTGAGGGGTAAGAGGTTGCAAACACACACACATTCTGAGTGAGAAAAGAACTGCTAAAATAGTACAATTGATGTTCATCTCCCTGTGTTAAAAAGTGCATGATTTGGGGATGTAAGCCTTCTTGCTATAAGAGGTGAGAATTCAGTGGAAAAATGCTAAGTTCAATGATTTAAAAAAAAAAAAAGAAATTGCTTTTCATACGAGTTGACAGAAACAGAATGAAGCTTGCCTGTTGTTACATCACCAAGCTTATTTGTGAAAGGAAATTAAATCAAACTTGCCTATCTGAGAACCCAGACTTTGAGCCCTGGGATCTGCTTGTAGCGTGTTCACCATGAAAACCCGTGTTGCCAGTGCCAGTGCCTCTGCTTTTTTGGGGTAGAATAGTTGGGTGTGTCTGTTCAAGCTAGTGGCGGTGAACAGCTCATCGTATCTTGTCATTTCTGGAGGCGTGCCTCCCCAAAAGGCGGTGCCTAGAGGCATATTGGCTGAAGTTGATTTGGCAGACCAGCTTTTTTGAGAATTTCAGAGCCCATGCTACTAAAATAAGTGTAATGATTGCTCCAGCAATTAAAATGAGGTCTCGCCAAAAGAACTCCAGACACTTGATTGGGAGAAGCCTCTTACAAATCCCTAGCTCGTTCCCAGTCAGCTGCCCCAAGGGTTTCATCCTCACGGGAGCTGGGCTTGCGCATCGGGCGTCGGCAAGAGAGGGTGCAGAGACGTCTTCTAGCCAGAGCTTCAGATACAGAATATGACAGTCGCAGTTCCAAGGATTGTCAGATATTTTCACCTCCTCCAGGCTGCGCAAGGCGTCCAGGGCGCCGGCAGGAACGGAGGTCAGGCTGTTGTTGTGCAGATAAAGCCTCTTGGTGTCAACGGGCAAGGCGGGCACTGCCGTCAGCTTCCTGGAGCTGCAGTCGATGTGCAGCCCCTTCATTTCTCCCAGTGGCTTACAGTTGCAGGAGGGAGGACAGACTTCAGTCTGGGTCACGTGGAACAGCAATGATATGGCAAATCCCGTGACAGTGATGAATTCTGTCTTGGTCATGCTTCAGCTACCCAGAGGAGAAGAAGAATAATCTGATAAGTATGATTCATTGGCATGTTTCTAAATGCAAAACTATGACACAGCTATTTCTTTCTCAGGATTACTCGTGAGGTTTAGGTTTTTGGAAGAAAATTTTTAGCTTTCTGTGTTTCCCACAAAGCCACTCTTCCTGCCATTAAGTAGCATAAATGCAACTGGGACAGAGCACAGTGCTTCTGTTTTGTCTCCAGTTTGTTGCTTTTCCTCCCCAATTGTACAAAACATGTTATTGTTCAAAGTTGTGGAACAGAATATCACCAGGAGATGATGGCATAAAATAGGTTAGTTTTAGGCAAAGATTTTGATCCCATTTCTACATCTTCGTAGGTCTAGTGTTAAAACTGTGAAGTCAGTTGTCAAAATTGAGCTTGAGAGACTGAATCATTGTAAATGTCTAAAAAATCTTCCTTCTGAGAGTATGACGATTCTAATGAGGAAATATGTATTTTTATGTGTCAAAAAGTTCTTTTTTGCTGCCTTGTAGCTTCATGCATCCCTGAGAATGCACAGTTTAAGATTTGGATTAATAGAGAATTGGGAATTTTGCATATGTGGTACTGCCTGTCTTTTAGGGATTAAATAACCATGCTCTGGGCTAGCAGGTAATTGTCCCTTTCACTCTGTCATTCCCACTTCTGTAGAGTGGCTCCCAGCAGACTTCCATCTCAGTCCCTTCTATCTGGCAGTTTAAACCCTCTAAAGCTATTCCCTTCCTGTATTTCCTACTACTTCTCAGCATTTTAAAATACATAGCTAGCCTTAGGACTAGATTGTAATTTGAAATACAAATTTCCTTGCACAGGTTGGGCAATTTCCAATCCTGAAACCATCTTTCTTTATGATTTTAATACATCCCATAATTAAAATATGTTGTTTTTATTTATTTTTCTATTTCATTTGCAATAGGTAAGTATTGAAGCAAAAATATCTGACTCTGTATTGTCCTGGCTACTACCTGGAGAGTGGCAGATGCTGTGAAAAGTGTGGGCTTCTTATACACAATACACTTAAAGAAAATTCTTTTTTAACTGAAGAAGGTGAAAACAGTTGTATAACTTTGCGTGCAAGCATTAGAAGCACATTGGGTACAATTTTAAAATGAGACTGGACAAAGCCTGAGAAATGTAAAAGACGCGTAGATGGGGCGCTCTGGGACGTGGTTTAGTGGTGGACGTGGCAGTGTGAGGTTTACATTTGGACTCGATGACCTTAAAGGTCTTTTCCAGCCTAAATGATTCGATGATTCTGTGAGACAGCAAGCAGGTAGGACAGACCTATTAACAACAACAAATACAGAGTAAAAGAGGTTTTTACATACAAAGGCAATAAGGAGCTTATTATGCTAATGTAGAATGGAATTCAGAAAAAAATTCCTTCAAAATAATGTTTTCAAGTATAGAGATATTTTAGAATGAAAAAATATTTCTTCTTAAAAACTTAAAATAAACGGGACTATTTTTTTCTCTAAGAATTTTCATTTAATAAAGACTAAAATTGGAAGAAAAATGGATTGATTTTCATTTAAATGTATTTGCTTGAATTTACTTGCCAGGATTATATAATTAACTTTTCAAAATAAAGTTGGACAGCTTTAGATTCCTGACCTAAATACTGCATTCCTGTATTTCATATTGGATTAATGCTACATAAAATTATAAACTTCCTCACAGAGAAGCTTAACAATCTCCTGTGTCTCTGTTAGCAAGTAGTTACTCTGAATATCTTTGGTCTGAATCTAGATACTCATCTGTTATTTTTCAATGAATTTACTAGAGCTGGTTTTTTTCAAAGCAGACAGCTTAAAAGGACAAACTATGTTATCTGGCTAAAAAAATGTTAAGTAATATCTACAGAAAGGATGATCTCCTCTGATTTAATATCTCCACAGTAAGAAATGCCAAATCAAGTAGAAATAAGAACCGTAGCAAAAGTGCAGAAAGGAAGAACTGGTGAGATGCCAGACTGACACTTACGCTTCTTGATCCCCTCTCGGTTCCTTTCCCTCTGCCTGGCAAAGTGTTGGGTACGTATAGCAACTGGAGTTGACTTTTTGAAGAGTCAGGAAGGAAATGTGTTGAAGCAGATGAGGAAAGATAGGAAACCGTTCCCCCCGGAGGGTGCTATATATGGGTGACACATGGCGTGGCACATTCTGCTCGGGGCAGTTTTGTATTTTCTGCAGACAAGAGGAAATGCTTTGGTAGGTTTTTTTAATTGCTAATATATTTTTCCCCTTAAACCTGACATTGTCTTGAAAACCTAAAATGACTCATTTGAAATCTAGGGTTTTTTTTTTTTCCTCAGCTGTAATAATCTACAAGTATGAAAGTTATCTTGAGCTTCAGCTCCTGACACCTGCAAGCCCAAGCAAGATACAGGGGAGCTAAAGTTAACCCACGAAATAGAGTGCCTTTGCTTTAGTCAAAGCCAGGTGTGGCTTATATCTACCTTTCCATTGATGAAGTAATATTTGGAAAAGCACACTGTAGCAGCAAAATAACTGATGTTAATCAGATGAGGTAATTACGGGATAGAGAAATATTCATGCTGGGTCTGGAGTTTAGCAATGACTCCCAGAAGGGCCAGGGAAGGTGTGCTGGGAAAGGCTCGCCGGCGTGGTGAGCATCGCTCCCTGTCATCAGGACGGCCAAGAGGACAGGGCTGGGCTTGGCACATATGTAGCTTTTCTTCCCCGTCACAGGAGCTATGTATAGCTCGGAAGAGGACTATGATCCTGCAAATTGCTTTGCATTCCGGTTGCTGAACCATATCAGCTGCTGAGTAACAGCAATGACATCTTGGAAGAGAACATGCTCTGTGTGTGTTTGGCTGGAAAGCCAGCAATTCAGAATGCTGCAGGTTTATAATATACACCTATCTGTTTATCTAAGTGAAGAATGCTGTGTTTGTGTAAAAGAAAAACAACAACAACAACAACAAAAAAAAAACAAAAATAGGATTTTGTTCTCACTTTTTTTTTTTTTTTTGGTATGTGAAATTTTGGAATAGAAATGAATGAAGGTTTTTCTTTGCTTTATCTGCCAAACGTGACCACTCTAGAATTAAGATAGCAGATGCCTTTTGGAAGCCCAGTGTGTTGTGGATCTGATGTTTAATTCAGGGCAGTTCTGGCTCAGTGTGCTGTTTTGGGGACAGGCTTTGAGCTGTGTTCTGCATTTGGAAATGAAACCCAGGTGAGTTTCAGACATTGCAGATGTGCAGCAGAGCCCTGCTTCTGAACTATTTCTTTATAGCATGCTGTTCTTGGGGGAAGGGAAATTTCTGACATTTAAAATTAGCAATTCTTGCTGTTTAGTTCTTACTTATATTTAAACTCATTTCCTTCATTAAGTCAAATCAGTTCCCAGTAGCCTGAAGTTTGTTAGGAACTTCCTTAAGAAAATGACTTCATGTGTATCTTTGCTCTTCAGTAGTTTAGAAGGTAATTTAGACAGTGCTGGAGGGAGAAGAGAAAAATGCTTCAAACCCCATTTGAATTTTGATCTTTCCTAAAAGATGAGGAAAGCGATTCTTCCTCCATTGAGATGAATAGTCCATCTGCCTGTCCGATGGTCAGTGGCTGAACCGGGGAGGGGGCTGCTAACAAAGGGAAGACCTTCTGTCTTAGGGATTGGTTGTGTTGTATTTAACGAGTACATCACTACACAATAGATTTCATAAGTGTCCGTCTTCCCTCGCGCCTGTTTCCTGTGTCACACGATCTGTGCCACACGTCCTAAGGAATGCTGCCCCACAGAACAGAGATGTTCCTGGTTTATGGTGAAATCAAACGCTGCGTCTTTTGGCATGGAAACGGACGGAAGATGTTTGGAATCCCCTGGAATCCCTGCCCAGGCTCTGTGCTGTGGGCAGTCTCACCGAGGCAGTCCCAGGTTCCTGGGGCTGCTGTGTGGCCGGAGCAGCACCCCTCACACCCTGTCCCCGAGTCCCGTTCCTTGTCCTGAGGGCTGCCGGCCGCTTTCCGCAGCTCTCTGTGCCACTGGATGTGTGTAGGGAGTATCTGCAGAAGCAAAGCTTCAAATACAAGGCATTTGCGTTTATCGTTTTAGGGCTATAGCTTTTAGTAGGCCAAATGAGGATTCTTCATTTAAGAGGATTTATTAAGAGCTAATTTGAAAAAAAAAAAGTTATAATCCGCTATAATCTTGTTATAGTCCAAAAGTATGTTTTCCATGGAGTGAATCCATTTGAACATTTTGTGGATGAGGGAGGGTCTGTCTGGCTCCTCGGCAGAGGGGTATTTCTGAGCGCTCCTGTTTCCCAAGCAAACCTCTCTCGCTGCCGTACTCCCCGACAGCACCCTTCTCTGCATTAGGTTTCTTTCGAGGCCCTGGCTTCTCCAGTCAGGTACGTGGTGCTGCTCCTCGTTGCTTATCCAGGGAGAAAGAAGAGCTGAAGGGGGGATTACGACGCTCCTTGCAGGTGAGAATAAAAGCTGCAAGCTCAAGCTAAATGTGCAGGTCAAACACATGGCATGCTAAGAGGAAGCGCAGGCAGAAGATGCCATTATTTTTTTGTAGACAGTTTTAAGGAGCTATAGTAATTCATTACTGTCAGTGACCTGTTCTTGACCTAGAAAGGCAGAATTCTTTCTCAAGCACTGTTTCCATTTCCAATGCTGAAAAAACTCGCCGCATCACATTGTCAATAGATGGCAAAAGCACTTCTCATTTCAGTTCTGTCACCTTGATTAAATCTGTTCTTTCATATTTTCTAATAGGTTGGTGCGAAGAGAGTAACCAAAATATTTCTTTGTGGCTGGATGTGAGTCACTGGTAATTCATGAATTATAAAAATAAGCAAAAAGAAGGAAAAAAAATCAATCATGAAATTAATTCACACATCGAGGACTATTGCCTGCAGAAATGAATTAAAGAAAATCTCTGATTTCTCTCACATCAGGAGTTATTGTTGCTCCAGGGCCAAAATATTCCTATTAT